CACGAACACTAGCATTCCACTCAGACAAGTTTTGGAATTGATTCCAACATGGTGGTACACTCCTGCAATTCCCTCAGGAGTCTGAGGCAGGAGGATTAGGTTTGAGGCCAGTTTGAGGCTGAATGGGAAGCCCCTGCTTAAGACAAAACCACAAAGGTGTTTTGGATTTTGGAGTTTCCAATCAGGGATGCTCCAAGGTAAAGAAAATGCAAATATTCCAACATGGGGGGGGGATCTGAAATCTAAAATATCCTTGGTCGTTTTGGAGAAGGGACACTCAGTCTTTATTTTTTGAAGTTTGATGGTCTTAACTGAAACTGACAGAATGCTGAGCTCAATCCCAGCTTAGGCAAGGAAAGAGGATTAACTAGCTAGTGTCCATAGAGAACCATGACTGGCTCAGTGCAGGGGCTCAAAAGGTGTCCAACACATTGTGGTGTCCCCTGGCAACTCCATTGTCTCAGACCCGCACCCATTTGGGAGTGAGATGACTTGCACACAGCTGTCTTCCCAAAAGCAAGGCTGTGAGGAAGTCCTATTTCGTGTAAAAGCCTGAAGATTCACGATTGGACTGGCTTGGGTCACATGATCACCTACAGACCAGTCTCTGTGGTCAAATATTAGAAAACTTTTGATTGGCCTAAGCCTGGGTCACATGGCCTACTCAGGAAGCCAGAGAATGAAACCATGCTTCAAAGTTCCTACAGAATTAGTTCTCCCAGAGCAAAACCAAAATCAGGGCTCAAAACCATCCACACCAGGTGCTGGTGGTTCACTCTTGGAATTCTAAGGAGGCTAAGATCTGAGGATCATGGCTCAAAGCTAGCTAGGGCAGGAAAAGTCCCTGAAACTCATCTCCAATTAACTACCAGAAAACCAGAAGTGGTGCTATGGCTCAAAGTGGTAGAGCACTAGCCCTGAGCAAAAAGAGCCCAGAAAGCACCCAAACCCTGAGTTCAAGCTCCATGAATGACAAAATAAAAAAATAAATAAAATAAAGCCATCTGCCAAAATGAGCATTTGCAAATTATTGGACAAGAAACAATTTCCCAGAGATGGCCAGGATTTGAAACCTGCAATGTCTAACACCAAAGACTCTATACCTATTTGCTATCTGACACTGTGTTATTTTGGAACAACATAGAATCATAAGCCCTTATTAACAGGTCTATGGTGCCTGGTTGCTTAAGCTGCAGGGGGTGGGGGCATACGTGGGACAGCATGGCTCTGGCCTGTCCCTGGCCGCTATGTGGGGACTCCATAAGGCTTGGATTAGCTTTCCACCCAGACAGGTTGCCAAGGACAGCAGTAAATGACAAAGTGTAACTCACAGATGTAATAAGAACAGTTACTATTTCTTGGTGGTTTCTATGTCAGGCACTGAGTTACGACTCCTCCAGGCTCCCAGGGGAGGTCGCATGGTTGCCGTTCTGGGTTACTGATGAGGAACTGAAACACAGGTGACAATCGTGGTCAAGACCATAGAGCCACCTGAGTGGAGAAGAGCTTAGGTTAAGGTCTGACTCCTGAGGTCCAGAGATCCGAGTCCCTTATCCCACATTCTGACATCAGTCCAAAGGATGCGTCAGAGTTACCTGCAGAGACCAGAACTTAAGCCAGCAAAGGTGCTGCGATGGTAACTCTAAGCTTTTGCTTCCACTGTGTTTCTTTGTTGGGCCAGTACTGGAGTTTGAAGTCAGGGCTTCCCAAGGCAGGAGCTCTATCGATGGAGCCACGCCCACCCCCACGCCCCACCCCCACCCCTCCGAGTAGCAAGGGCCAAGAGGGCCAGAGCCTGTGGCTGATCTCCTTGCTGCATCTGACATTCGCTGCAATCATGGCTAAAGAACAGTGAAGCAGCCCTGAAACCTACTACTTATTCTCTCTGTTGTGATGCTGGCTTTAATCTTGAGTTTATAATTATTTTATATGGTAAAGAGTGTCATCGCTGGTGGAAATAAATCCAGCCCCTAAGTAGACACCCCTTAGGTTTAAAGGGATGTTCAATTAGGAGAACGCCCATAATATATTGTTAGTGATTTTCCTTAGGATGCAAACTGCCGAGTAAATATATATAGCACGCCAATTTTTTTTTGAAAAGGCTATCCATATATAAGGAAGACCAAAGGAATAAACAAGAAGAGCTTGTTTTATGGTTATGTTTATTTTCTCATTTTCTCTGTTTTTCAATTTTTTTCTATCACAAAGTACATTACATTCATAATTTTAAAAGTATTATAAAAATTCACAAAGGTTTCTGCATCTAAGAAGCCTGCGGTTTCTTTGAGGGCCTCCGGCTTTGTTTTCCTTTTAACTTTCCTTCTTTTTTTTTTTTTTTTATTCAGCCACTGATTTCTGCTGTGATTGACCCTGGGTCAAGTGGACCAGAATCAGACCCTGAGGAGTGACCTGTGCACTGGACAGACAGACAGACAATAGTATACCTAAAGTGCTCAGACATGACAGCCCCCCCTTTGATGGGAATTCCCTGACGATGGGACCATGTCTCAGTCACCTCTGTACCCCAGAACCTGAGATGGAGTCTGGAACAGAATTAGACACTTCAGAAATACTTAGAAATAAGCACATGAAGTCAGGGAGACACGAGTTCAAATCCCAATTTCTTCAGTCCTTACTTTTTCTTCTACAAAAGGTGGGGTTGCCACATCCCAGGGCTGCTTGAAAGTTCAGTGGACATTCAGCAAATCCTTTCTACACTGCCAGAAAATGGTTTTAGATGCTCAACACAGAGAGAGATAGTTTACTACAAATCAGATAGATTCTGAGAGTACAAAGTCTGAGGTTAGGTTTTCCTCTACAAGCATCTGGAGGAGAACTAGAAAGAAATTTTACAATTCTGAGAGAATTATCTAAGAAGTGCAAAGGCACTACACGCTGGTAGCTCATGCCTGTAATCCTAGCTACTCAGGAAGCTGAGATCTGAGGATCATGGTTCAGAGGCCACTCAGGCAGGAAAGTCTGTGAGACTCTTACCTTCAATGAACCACCAAAAAATCAGAAGTGGCACTATGGTTCAAGTGGTAGAGCACTAGCCTTGAGCTGAAGAGCTGAAGGACAGTGCCCAGGCCCAGAGTTCAAGCCCCACAAAAGACCTCCAAAAAAGCAAACTGTTAAAAATAAAAAAGAAGTTATAATGTATGGCAAACTGGTAAGTCTCATAATGGAAGAATTCCTGAAAGTGACTACAGTTCAGAAATTTGATTATTCATCCCTAACCAAATATTACCTAAGGCAAAGCAAAAGAAGAAAAGAAAAGAGCATAACTAGCAAAAGAAAAAAGTAGGCCTGGCACTGGTGGCTCACGCCTGTAATCCTGGCTACTCAGAAGGCTGAGATCTGAGGATCGCAGTCCCAAGCCAGCCCTGGCAGGAAAGTCCGGGAGACTCTTGTCTCCCACTAACCACCAGAAAGCTGGAAGTGGAGCTGTGGCTCAAAGTTATAGAGCACTAGCCTTGAGCAAAAGAGCTCAGGGACAGTGCCCAGTCCCCAAGTTCAAGCCCCAGGACAAAAACAAAAACAAAACTATTACTACTGTTAGTGTGTTGGTCTGAGTTTGTGTCTCTGCACCACACTTTCCTTGCTGAAACCTACCAGTGTGGTAGAGATCTGGGGCCTTTACAGGAGAGATTCTCTCTCATGGGGGGATTCATGGCTTTAGAGGAGAGGTCTCAGGGAGTTTGTCCTATGCCCTTCTATCCCAAGGATAGAGCTAGAAGTCCCTACCAGATACCAATCTGCTGAGATTTCCAGCCTTCAGAACTGAGAACTTTTTGTTGTCGATAAATTACCCATCATCAGAGTGCAAAGTTTACATTTGTTGTTGTTGTTGTTGTTTTCCTAGAAGAGGGCTACTAGGTAGACCAGTCTGACCTCCAACTCCTGATCCTCCTGCCTCAGCCTCCTGAGTGCTGGGATGACAGGCATGCACTGCCACACTCAGCGCAGTCTGATATTCTGTTAAAACGATCCAAATGCTCTAAGACATGGTAGCGTTGGTATTATCTCAAAGATACTAATCAAGTGAGTATCTTTCACTGTGGGGGAGGAGGGTGAGAGAAAGAAAAGAAATGGAGTACCCTGTATATTACAAAATGTACACTCTTGGTGATGGAATGTACAAGAAAGCGTTCAGTGACAATAAAACTTCAATGACAATTTTTATTATTTTTTTCTTTTATATTTAATAGTTTGAGGGGCTGGAAAAAATACTAGAGAGCAAATAAATGGCAAGAGGAAGGACTTGGGGCTGAAAATGTTGGTAGAAATGTCTTTAGCTACTTCTGAAATCTGGCGACTAAGTAGAGAAGTCAGGTGACAAAGGCAAGAATATAAATTCCTGTTGTTAATAGGTAAACAGGTATAGACATTGGATGGGCAGGCTTCTTACTTCTATTGACCTTCCGGCTCTGGTTAATTTTGAGAGGGCAGGCACAAAGTGGCCGATGTGACATCATCTCCTCTTACTCCTCTCCATGTTCCCTTGTTCCCCAGACTGGCTGAGTCTAGGTTCTCGTTGCTGGGATGGCTTGTCCCAGTTGGTATTCAAGGAGGTTTGAACTCAAGGCCTGGGCACTGTCCCTGAGCACTTCTGCTCAAAGCCAGCACTGAACCACTTTGAGTTATAGTACCACTTGCAGAGATTGGCTGGTTAGAGATGAGAGTCTTGAGCCATGCTTCCAGCCTGGCTCTTTGCAGGTTAGTTGAGAGATGGAGACTTAGGAAATTTTTGGCCCGGGCTGGCTTTGAACTTCAATTTTTGCCACAAAAGCCCTTTATTATTTCCAATTAAAGCAACAAGGAGATCAAGTAGAATAAGTAGAACTTACCTGGTTCTTATCAAGAATTGACCAACAAGTATTCTGGAATGACGAAACTTCTTAGATATGAGAATCTTAGCACAGATATGCCCAATATTTTAGAGTCACGTAGTCAGTACCAGAATACATAACACAAAACAAAAAAGGCAAAACTCAGAGACGAGAGCTGAGGCCGAACTTGGGATTTGACAAGATGGCCGGGCTGCCCCGCAGGATCATTAAGGAAACCCAGCGCTTGCTGGCAGAACCAGTTCCTGGCATTAAAGCAGAACCAGATGAGAGCAACGCCCGTTATTTTCATGTGGTTATTGCTGGCCCTCAGGATTCCCCCTTTGAGGGAGGGACTTTTAAACTTGAACTATTCCTTCCAGAAGAATACCCAATGGCAGCACCTAAAGTACGTTTCATGACCAAAATTTATCATCCTAATGTAGACAAGTTGGGAAGAATATGTTTAGATATTTTGAAAGATAAGTGGTCCCCAGCACTGCAGATCCGCACAGTTCTGCTATCGATCCAGGATTTGTTAAGTGCTCCTAATCCAGATGATCCATTAGCAAATGATGTAGTGGAGCAGTGGAAGACCAACGAAGCCCAAGCCATAGAAACAGCTAGAGCATGGACTAGGCTATATGCCATGAATAATATTTAAGTCGATCCGATCATCAAATGTGCATCACTTCTCCTGTTCTGCCAAGACTTCTTCCTTTTTTGTTTGCATTTAATGGACACAGTCTTAGAACCATTACAGAATAAAAGCCAGACATCTTCAAAAAAAAAAAAGGCAAAACTCAAAACCTAAAATTTTGACAACAATGCGTGGACATCTTTGCTAACAAAGCACATCAGATAGTTGGGCCTGGTACCAGGGCCTGTGAAAAGAGCAACTTGTCAGCAAGGCACCTTAGAACAGCTGGATGGAGTAGTAAGCTTGGTGGAAAGTTAAGGGCCAGATGGGGTCAAACTCAATGACAATTTTTTTAAAAAAACCTATTTCTCACGAGAGAAAGAGTATACAGATGTAAGATAGACAAAGCTAAGTCAAAACACTATTAGCCCAGAATTTATTTATTTATTTTTTTGGATCTGGTTGTGGGGCCTGAACTCTGGGCCTGGGCGCTGTCCCTCAGCTCTTCTTCAGCTCAAGGTTAGCGCTCTACCACTTGAGCTACAGCGCCACCTCTGGCTTTTTTCTTATGTGGTGCTGAAGAATCGAACCCAGGGCCTCAGGCATGCAAGGAAAGCGCTCTACCACTGAGCCACCTTCCCAGCCCTAGCCCAGAATTTAAATTAGGTATGTCAATACAACCGCATGACCAAAAATAAACTGGAGACTTATTTTGGAGCAGTTCTAAGTTCATATAAAAACTGAACAGAAAGTAATTTCCATGTTACCCCAGCCTAAGTCCGCAGATCCGCCACCCTCCCACTAGCACACCACATCCACCTCCACCTCCCACCCATCTCCCACCTCTCCCACTTCCCACTCCCCCTGTTGTCCTGTTTTTTAAGAACTTGCATATTAATGAGTAGAGTACGTTTGTTACAATGCATAAGTTAATATCGATGCATTCTTACATTGACCCTAGGGTTCACTCTTACACATTCTGTGGGTTCCATAAATGTAGACCGGCCACTATGAGTCATCATCATGTATCAGCTCTCCATCATCTGAGAACCATACATCCCAAGACCCACCCCCTGAAGCGGGTATCTGGAACTCAGCACAGACCCCTATGTCTGCCTTTCCCCTATTCATACATACCTATGATAGAAACTAAATTTGCATACAAGGCACAGCAAGATGGCTGTGGCTTGAATATGAAATGTCTTCACACAGGCTTCTATATTCAACACTTGGTCCCCAGGTGATGGCGGGATGTTGGGAATGTTCTGAAAACTTTAAGAGGTGGGAAGTTGGAGGAAGTAGGTCCCCAGGGGTGGGTCCTTAGGACGCATCTTCTCTGGGGCTACTTCCTGTCTCACTTGCTGCTTCCTGTCCACCATGAGGTGAAGAACCTCCTCCACCACCTGAAGTTCTGCCTCACAGAAGGCAGAGAAATACACAGCCAGGTGACCAAGGGCTGAAACCACGAAACCAGGAGCCAAAGTATACCCTTTCTCCCTTAAGATTTTGGTCACAGCTATGCCAAAGTGACTAACCTGGAGATGGACGATAATAACGGATAATGAACTAAAACAATGATAATGACAGGCTAAAAGAATTTACGTGAATGTGGTCTGTTGAAATCACTTCCCGTATGATAAACACCTCCTGTGATGGTGTGACCCCAGGCCTATAGCACAAGATGCAGCAGCAGGGTGAACAATGCAGGCCCTGTAATACACCACCAGAACCCAACAGCCTATCTCTCGGCCAGGAGGGCTACTAAGAGACTAATGGGCTGGTAGCACTTAGAACATGAATACACCCTGTAGGACCGAGTGGGGGCAGTGTGGGTTGCATCACGTCATTCAGAGGGAGTGCAATTTAAAACGTATAAGCTGTTTATTCTGAGAAATTGTCCATTTAATATATTTAAGCCATGGTTGTCCATGAGTAACTAAAACTGGAGGAAAATCTAAACTGTGAGCTGGGTGCCAGTGGCTCATGCTTGTAATCCTAGCTACTCAGGAGGCCAAGATCTGAGTGTCATGGTTCAAAGCTAGCCAAGGCAGGAAAGTCTGTGAGACTTTTATCTTCAATTAAATTAACAGAAAACTGGAAGTAGAGCTGTGGCTTAAAGTGGCACAATGCTGCCGGGCACTGGTGGCCCACGCCTATAATCCTAGCAACTCAGGAGGCTGAGATCTGAGGATTGTGGTTCAAAGCCAGCCCGGGCAGGAAAGTCCATGACACTCTTATCTCCAATAAAACCACCAGAAAACCAGAAGTGGAACTGTGGCTCAAGTGGTCGAGTGCTAGACTTGAGCTACAGAGTTGAGGGACAGCGCCCAGACCAGACTTCAAGCCCCACGACCGACAAAAAAAAAAAGTGGCACAGTGCTGGCCCTGAGCAAAAGAACTCAGAAACAATGCCCAAGCACTGAGTTCAAGCCCGGAAACTGAAACAAAATTAAACTAAACTGTGCCTAAGAGCAAACTGCCATGGTGTCATAAAGAATAGTTTTGCTGCCTTAAATCCCCTGTGCTCCACTAGATAGGTAGAATGCCCCCTCCTTCCACCTGCTACCTGACAAACACCTTACTATCTCCATAGTTTCACCTTCTCTAGAATGGCTTAACACTTAATCACACAGGCTCATTTGTCTTGCCTAGTGATATTCATTTAAGATCATTTCATTTTACTAGCTGAGTGATAGTCCACTGAATGAGCGTACCACACTTTGCTCAGACATTCACCTATTGAAGGATTGCTCCCAAAGATTTAGCTATTGTGATCTTATTTTATCTTTTTTAAAGTATTTTATTTTTTTATCTTTTTAAAAGTATGTTTTTTTTATCTTTTTAAAAGTATGTTTCTCAGCCGGGTGCTGGAGGCTCATGCATGTAATCCTAGCTACTCAAGAGGTTGAGATCCAAGGATCACAATTGAAGCCAACCTGGGCAGAAAGTCCATGAGACCCTTTTCTCCAATAAACTACCAAAAAGTTAGAAGTGGAGCTGTGGCTCAAGTAATAGAGCTCTATCCTTGAGCAAAAGAAGCTCAGGACCAGCACCCAGGCCCTGAGTTCAAGTCCCAGTATTGGCATCCAAACAAAACAAAAAGTGTGTCCTTTCTACTCATCCACTGAAAAAGCTCAAGACTAATGACCAAGGCCACACAGCATTGAACCCCGCTTAGACCTAGATTGTGGTCCCTAAATGCATTCGTTGCTCAAAGCAACCAGGGCTCCTATGAGAAATGCTGGTTTCAGGTCTGGGGCAGAAAATTCATGAGATGCTCTATCCCAGAAAGGAAAGAAGCCATCAAAGTCGCAAAGTCACTGTGAAGAGGGTCTCTCTGGAAAAAAGAAGAGACATTAGGCCACTCATAAGAATTGCAATGATATAATAAGAAGCCCCCTCCTACTCATAAGGATACTAAAAAAAATATATAATAACTCCCAGGATGTTAGAAAACCAACTCATGGTTTAGAAACTGTTGAAGAGTCAACTTCTTACGTCATCTCTAAATTGGAGGAGGGCATCACATACTTCACGGTGACAAAAGAGTTAATGAGACAATGCCCTTTTCTCAAGGATCCAGCTCATAAATGAAGACAGAAGACGGAATTGGAATCAGATCATTTTGCAATCCCGAATGGCCTCAGGAGCCTCGGCAGTGAACACCAGCTAACTTTGTGCACACAAAGGAGAAGGTAGGACGCTGCTCCTCGCTGAGGGACGCAGCCCCTCCCACAAAGCCTGGCTGCCAAGAACTGAGCCCCAATCCCATCAAGTCTCTAGATCGAATTACAGAAGATACAGAGGACAGAGGAGCGTGTTAATGGACCCCACCGGAACTCAGGCAGCAAGACTCAGACTGGGAAAGTACTATAGGGCAACAAATATCAGGACAGGGAGGCAGGGAGAGAGACAGAGACACTGGAAGAGCAGAAACTGCAGCTCAGCAGACTTGGAAAACATTTCTGGGCCTTCATAGAAGACTCTATATAAAGTTCACGAGACCCCAGCTCAACCAGTGACTGGGCACAGTGATGCACACCTGTCATCCTGGTGACACGAGTAGGAGACGCACGTACAGGAGACATGTGGCCCTTACCATGAAGGGAGGGGGTCCAGGTGGCTAAGAATGAACACAGAGGTCCTGGAAGGCTTCCAGGAGGATGTGGCATCTACACTGAGCAAAGATGCACAAGGGTCAGGAGGAGAGGGAGTGGCGGGACCCCTCCAGGCAAAGGGAGCAGCCTGAGAACGAAGAGAGCAAAGGGGAGGAGGGAGAGACCCAGCCAGGGAGAGGCCCCGGGAAGGACAGAGGGACGGGTGCTGTACTTGGAGGCTTTTCCTGGGGCTGGAAAGGCGGGAATCGCCAAGCTCTTCCAGGGAGAAAAGCTCTGCTAAGCAGATGGTGTGCGCTGGAGCAGAGGTGGAGGCCAGAACATGAGGATGGCAGTTTCTGGCTTTACTGTACCCTGAAAGCAGAGGCGGGGCTGTCTGGAGTCAGCGGAGGCCCGTGGCACACTGCTGACACCCATGGGGCAACAGCACCACAGCTGAGGCAGGACCCTTCCCCCTGAGCCTCAGTTTTCCCCATCTTGGAAATGGGTATCCAGGGCTCATTTAAAAGAAAGATGCTTTTAAAAAAGCTTCACACGGACCTGGTCTTCCATGAAGATTGTTGTTGCTATTGTTATTATTATTATTACTATTATTGCTAGTGTTATTGTTAATGCTCCTGGGAGTGGCTTTGGCTGTCAGCTGCTAGACTGTGGGAGGGACTGACGCTGCTGAGCCTGGAGGCTGGGCCGGGTGCTGTTTTCATATCCCCGTGCGGTTCATCTCAGTGTTCACAAGACCCCCCCCTTCCACAGAGGGTCCAGCGGGGTTGCTGGGGGGACACATTCCAGAAAGAATAACTCCGTGTAACTTGAAACCCTGATTCTGGAAACACGACCTCTATGGGAAATTGGAGGATAAGGTCTGCTCTGCGGACCGCCCAGCCTCCTTCTGCACAAAAGGAACATTGAAACCCCAGGGCCTCAGCGACACTTGCTCCCACCCCAGCCTCCCACCTCACCCATCACTGCAGCCCGAGACATCTTCCTTCGCAAACCTGATGGGAACATTGCTGACATGCCTCACTTCCC